ACATAGCGCGACAATGCTTGCAACAAACATTCAGTGGTCGCTAAATTGTTTTTGCAACAAAATATCAATTTTTGTGACAACATTTTCTTGTCGCAAAATCAGTTATTTTTTGTAGTGATACTATATACTCGGCATTAGGTTTAGGTGAGATCAAACCTACTTTTATTGTCTTGCGATTAGCTGAACGATCCACTATTAGACCTATGGATAGTTGAGGATGTGCTAGTACAGATTGACAAATTTTGCTACCATGTGGATTTTTTTTTTTTTTTGGATGTGAAAGTAGATGTGAATGTTAACTCCAAGATTCCTATTATTCTTGGTAGACATTTTCTTGCTACAGCTAACGCTCTTATCAATTGCAGGAATGGTTTGATATAGCTGTCTTTTGGGAACATGACCTTAGACGTCAACATCTTTCACGTTATGAAATAGCTTGAGAAAGATGATGAGTGTCATCAAACATACATGATCGATGCACTCGTTGTGGAGGAAACATATGCGCTTATTGACCCTGACCCTTTAAATTCTTTCCTTTTAAATTTTGAAATTCCTACACGGTATGATAATAGTGAATATGCTGATATCTGTTCTGCTTTTCATTATTTTCAGGATTGTGAAACATCGTAGGTGACTATCTCCACTGAGCTTGGTGTAATGCAAAGAAGGTTGACAACGCCATGGCTGGATGCAGGCTAAAGAAAGCATTATTGGGTCGAGCCAACGATAATAAACAAAGGCGCTACTTGGGAGGCAACCCAAGGGGAGCTATTTTTCCCTCTCTTTCTTTTCTTATGTTTGCATTTTTTTAGGTCCATTTTCATCATATGCATTATTCATTGTATTTTAGTTTATTTTCATTTTTTGCATCACCCTTTTCAATGAATACTTTCAAACTTCTTATACTTCAGCTTATGTTAATTCACTTCGGTATTCAGGTGACATCATTCCTTTTTTTCTTTTGGCGGACATGTTTTTGCATTGAGGACAATGCAAAAACGTGGAGGGAGAGTTTAACTTAAGTTTTGTAGTGAATTGCATGTTTACATGGGATTTTGGCCTAATTTTTTTTTAAGTCTCTAATGCGCTACATGTTCTTGAATGACAATATATGTCACTAGGAATTAATATTGTTTTTGAAAGTTTGGATATGGAGACATTTGTTGAATCATTTTGCGCACACAAGTCTTGTAGTAAGATAGTATTTTAACACATGTAGCTAAAGGAGTTTTTTGCTGAAATTTTCATGTGAGAGTTGGTGAGGATCAAGAGCCACCATGCACTAAAATAGCAATAAGTATTCATTGATTTTGTGAATTGGAAACTCTTTTGAGAACATATAGCTTGTATTAAGATGGTAAGTTACTTGGAAAATGATAAAGGTCAATTTAGGATTAACATATAAGCCTTTCAAGCCTTTTTTTTCAATAATTACAATCCCTAGTAACCATGTTGAGCCATACACACATGTATAGCCTTTTCTTCATATACTCATGTTATATATACTTCTCCACATTGGAGTATAGTCTACATTGGAGTATAGTCTATTCATGTATTTACCCAATTTTTTACTTCCAAGTGTGTAGTAAGTATTGAATGCTTATCTGTGAAGAATATAAGCAAGAAAATGACAAGAGTTAGTATGTGTTCAAGTGAAACTATGTGCTCAAGCAAAACACCCCTAAAAAAAGAGAAGAAAAAAAGAAAAAAAATTGATTAATTTTGGGGGTTGAAAATAATGAAGAATGTGTTGATATGATCCATTGAAAAGCTTGATGCGACACTTGGCTATGTTCTTGGAAATTTTTGAATCATTATATCCCTATTTTCATATAGCTTAACTCAAACTGCATTACAGCCCTTTACATTGACTGCTTTGATCTGAAGTATGGTTGCGACAAGAAGTGGATGAATTCACATTTGGAAGTATGCCTATCACAAAATCAATGTTTGTTTGTTGCTTATTCATAAATATTTAATCCTCCAAGATATGAGTGTATACGCTTTCTCAGCTCCATAGAGAAAAATCTGCACTAAACACTTTGATACCCCTGAGTTATGGTGATGAACCTTTAGCTTGAGACATACTTGATGTTGCATGTGTTAAGGTTGGCGGTAAGATGGTTATGTCTTGACATACACTCACACATTTTACATGTGTTTTTGATATCTTGATGATCATAACATTGTTAATTTCTTGTGGTGTTGAGTTTGAAAGGGACATAGCATGTGGTTAAATTGGAACTTAATAATTTCATTTGTACCATGAACCATTCATTCATTTGCTTGTTTTGCATTAAATTGATAGGGACTAACAATAAGCAAGTTGGGGAGTGTGATAAAAGTGTAAAACATATTTTTCCCTCTTAATTGTTGCGCATGTACGATTTATCCGTGCCAAAATATGCTCATTATCTTCATGTTTTGATCTAGGTCACAATTCGATGAAAAAGGCGAAATTTGGAATAAATGAGTGAAAAAAGACCAAAGTGAAAGAGAACGAAAGTTCAAGGACCAAGTTGCAAATAATTTATATATGAGATGGGAAATGGAATGATGATTCGTGAATGCTAGGGTCAATTGGGTGCAATTAAAAGTGAAAGAAAGTGAAATATGACCATAACATCTTCACAAATCAATTCTCAATCGTAAAAGTTATGCACCGATTATCAGCCTCATGTTGATACCCTTTTTGACATGGCAAACGATTAAATTGGAAGATAATATCTGAAGTAAAGTTGTAACCCTTTGAATTAGCTTTCAAATGCATCTTGAATCACCTCAATCGGACATCGAGATCAAAATATTGAAAATTGTCCGACGGAGAAAATGTGACAACCATGCAGTTGCACAAGCACCTCCAGAGAATTCCAGAGGCCAAAATGTTTCTACCTTGTGACCGTAACAATTATAACCATGCAACTGCATGGGTATTTTCCGATGGCGAAATCCCAAATTTCTATTTTCTCTCAAGGGTTCATTTGATTGCAAAGATGTAATTGAACTGTGCAAAAAATGAATTACAGGGAATTAAATTGCCTAGAGTTGTTTTCCTGAGAATTATAAATTATTATGTTTGATTGTTACAATTTTTCACGTGAAAAATGTTGAAACAAAAATGTTTTTGATGTTCGTTTGGCCTTGTTTTACATGAAAATTCCCAATTAAAGGGATGAAATTTACTGGTATTGGAAATGAAATTTGTTTCCATTGCCAAAAAAAAAAATCAAGAAAATTATCTATCTTTGGGTGTTCATTTAGCTTTGTTTTACATGAAAATTGTCAATTAAAGGGAAATATTTTTTTACAATAATTCTTAGAATTGGTTTCCATTGCAAAAAAATAAAATAATTTCACTACAATAGGCTGGAATTCTTCTCACCATATATGGTGAAAATTCGAATTCCATGAAAACAAGGAAAATTCCAATTTCCAAGAAATCCAAAAAATGCAATTCCATGGAAAATATAAGGTATCAAACATCCAAAGTTGGAAAATTCAATTCCGATTCCATCTCCATGCTATCAAACACTACCTAATTGGTGAAGCCAAGAAGGAACTCGGTTAGACTTGTGTTTTTCAACGTTCTTTCTTGCATGTAATTTGTCTTTTTATTGTTAAAAATTCTGCAATTAGATTTCTTATGTTTGTTGGGCATGCTTGGGATTGGGTTAATTTATATTAGATTTTCATGAATTCAATCAAGTTTTTTTTATCGAATGATCGAAGCATTTATTGATTTTCAATTTCGAACCGTTTATTGGTGTGATCTTTTACTATCATATGCTTAAGGTATATGTTTGATTTTGGATCTAATTTCAATAAACAATTGTGGAATCATGTTGTGCAAGAAATCTAGATTTGGAACTCTTAAGGAATTAAAGAAGGGTTTGAATGTGTAAATCTTCCAATTGAGTGATAGGATAATAATAAAAAAAAAAACCTATAATTGATTATTTTCATGCAAAATTGACGTTGATTGATCCAACGTAATCGAGGGAATTCTGGTGCTTCACTGTGTCACACATTGATTTAAACTTCATTAACTTATACATTGTTATTTGAATTCTATTTCAATTGATACGTTACATTCACATAAAATAACAACAAAAACCCTAGCTTTTGGACCCTTTAACTAATTCCATCTCCATGTGGATACGACATCCCAAAGTTGTACTACAACTACTACGTTATACTTTGGGCGTAATTAGTTGCAATGTTACCGTAGAGTGAAGAGTTTTGGTAGCGTTCATTGAACGTTGCTAATGAGGTAATGAACGTTGCAAATAAGGGTTTCGGCAAAAATCGCTAAACGTTGCGAATGATGTTTTTGGTACGTTCATTGCCCATTGCCTTTTTTTTTTGGTTGCATTTTTTTTATTTGTATAGCAATTTACCAAATCAACCACAAAATTTAAAAAAATAAAAATAAAAATTTGGGCCTGAAGGAAATTGATATAATTTTATTAATCCATACCAAATAGACAAAACACACGTCATTGTAATAAATTAAAGAAAAATTTTGATTTGCATATTGCCCATCAAATAAACATCATCTTACACTCCTCTTAAACAAAAGAAAATTATTGTATAAAAGGCTATCTCTCAAAAATCATTCCCGTTACTTTTTTCTTGGCCTACATCTTTTATATAGGAAAGAGCCTCCCACCTTATAGATACTTGGTACTTTGCCAAAACAACATTTGGAGTCTGTATTTTTTCAATCCATTGTGAAAGAGGTTTATTATCAAATTCTTTGGAGGGTACTCTAGCAATGACATTATTTAATTCATTCGCTATGCGATTTGATTCCATGGTTTTACTTCCTGGTGTTGATCTCAAAGATGGAGCAAGATTGAAATTTAATGACGATAATGAAATATTTAATATCGCGTCATGAAAATAAGATTAAAGTAAAGTAGAAAAAGAGAAACTAAGCAAAAGAATGATGAATTTTATTAAACCTGAAAATATGGAGATTACAACTGAACAACAAAAAAGCTTCAATAAAACTGACAGAAGAGCCTCAAATATATAGTCCACGAGTCTAGCCCCAAACACTCCTGAAGAATGTTACCAAATACATAGACATCACTTTTGTCAGTAAGCTTACCTGAAAGATTGTTGAAAAGTTAGGCTAGAATTGGTCAATTTCACGTCTAAACTCTCTTCAAGCCAATGATCTACGAGATTATCTTCATAAAACACTTGTTTTTTTGTCTTTCTTTTCCTTTTCTTCTTCGAGTCTTTAGACGTACGGTATCATTTTCCCTGAGAAGCTCCAAAAGTAATTATTTAAAAAACATTAAATAATCTTAATTCATATACATGAAATTAGTAATTACATTATATCAATCACTCATCGTTTATAGGTCCCAGTCAGAGCTTATGATAATTGCAAGCACTTTCTTCTGGTGAAAGCTAAACCAATGTTTATAATTGAAGATATTTCCTGCCTTTCCTTCATGTACGTACTAAACTAAAGGAAGCATTAAACTGAAATGTAAAACTGAATGTAACGTGCAAAACAGAAAATAAAACAGAATGCTGAACAGAATGCAAATAAATCCCTAGGGTTCTGGGCTTCAACAATTCGTGGACTTGGAATTCTTTTTTGGTGCTGCTCTACTGGACCTTCGTGGTTTATCAATACCTCTCCCTCAAGTGGACAATTGTCCCCAAGGTCCACACCTAGATGCTGCTTCTGGAGGTCTTTTTGGATGTTGCTCACTTGCACTTGCTTTGTTGTCATGCCGGTTGTCCTCTATGATCTCTTCACATGTAATTTTGCCAATGTTTGTATTGTGATCTTTGGCACTTGTGACCAGTAGTAAATCTTTCATTTCAATTGAAACAAAGAACCTGTGCTCTCCGTTTTTGCATTTCATCCCACGTGAGCCGCTTCATAGGGGATTTTTGTGTGGATTGCGTTGAGCAGCTGCTCATCTTTCATCTGAGCAAGATTTATAGCTTCAACGTCCGTGGTTTGAACATTCGAACACCTTCAGCTATCTCTGGTTTGAGTCCACCCATGAAGGTTCCTACCAATGCATTTTGAGTCGACCCTTGTACACGGTTGCCCAGCTTCTCAAATTTCTGCTGATATTCTCGCAGGGAACCCACTTGCTGAATATGTAAGAGAGCTTCATCAAAGTTTTCACATTTAGTGGGTCCAAATCTTCCCAACAATTCCCCCTCAAAAATAGCCCAGGTTACCACTCTTCTATCCTCTTTGTAAGTTCAGCGCAGCCATTGCCATCATTGGTTGGCTTCTCCTTCGAGGTGGAATGAAGCTAAGGTCACCTTCTGTGCTTCTGTGGTGCCTTGATATTCAAAAAATTGATTAACTCTGTTGAATCACTCAATATGGTCATCTCCGGATTAACGTGGAAACTCAAGTTTCACCATTTTAGAGGAAAAGATTGCTCTGCCTCTGTCGTTATCGTCTCTGTTGGTATGAGAAAATTCGCCTCCTTCGGTGTTGTAGTAGTTAGGAGATTCTCTGTTGGAGAACATAGCTTCCGCAAGTTGGTTGATGGTCTCCTCCAACTGGTATAGTAACTATAGTTTATTAGCTATACCACATTCTATCTGTTGCATCCCATCTCAATCTCCACTGAGTCCAGCCTCCAGAACTTCAATCCTTTCTTTTACTTTTTTTTTATGACTCGGGTGTCTGAGCTTCGCCCAACTAATCCTAAAGAGTGGAGGCCTTCTCCCTAGGTTTGCCTCTCGGGTAAATCCGGATTAGGTCACAGCTTATATACACTTGGGCCGGACGTTCGGGATGCGATTTTCCTCCCTATAAACCTCTCTTTACAACGTGCGGACAGGAACCCTGAAGGAACAACAAAGTGCACCTTAACTTTGCCTCCACAGGACTTCTGCCTTCCAACAAAAATGTTGCCTTCCAGTTGCCGCGGGGATTCAAACCTCCGATGCTCCGTAAAGAACCCTCCTACTTTACCACTGCACCATGCCCGTGGGGGCAACGTCACTCTTTTCTTTATTAGATGCCATGGAGATAAGGCTCTTATACCAAATGATAGGTCATAGTCAGAGCTTATGATAATTGCAAGAACTTTCTTCTGGTGAAAGCTAAACCAATGTTTATAATTGAATTTATTTCCAGCATTTCCTTCATGTACGTGACATATATATAGGCAAAAGCCATAACAATTTAACCAAGTACCTCCTAAACTTAAGGAAGCATTAAACAGAAATGTAAAAACTGAATGTAACGTGCAAAGCAAAAAATAAAACTGAATGCAAATAAATTCCTAGTGTTTTTGGCTTCAACAATTCGTGGACTTGGGATTCTTTTTTGGTGCTGCTCTACTGGACCTTTGTGGTTTATCCGTCGTTCTAACTTCTAACTATGGGGAAGCTTGGCTAAGCTTCAGAGCAAGTAAAAGTTGTTTCCAAACATTTTTGATTGAGAAATTTATTCCTTACTTTTAATTTAATAATAATAATAATAATAATAATAATAATAATAATAATAATAATAATAATAATAATAATAATAATAATAATAATAACAATAAATAAATTATTTTTAAGTACATCTAAACTCTAACCTTTATGTCGATACAGATAACTCGCTTATTTCTCATTTTCTATCAATAAAAAATTAACTTTATAAAACTTACTATGTATAAGTTAGCTAAACAATATCAAATAAATCTGGATCACACATTTTACCATGTAACTGGAATTCCGGAGAACCATTGTGCATCAGTTCATAGGCGAGATAGTGCCCTTTGCCATGAATACGGTATCCCAGAAGCGAAACAATGTTCTGATGCTGAATCTAATTCACCCACTTGATCTCATTCTGCAAAATTAATTGAAATAAAGCCGTAATGAAATCCTACAAAAGATTAACTGAATTTCGAAAGATGGAATCAAACATGCCCAAATTTACCTCAAATTCTCTTTTCAGCTACCTGTCCACCAGCAGGTAGTTTTTTAATGGCTGCTTGAAAGTTGTTCGCAAAGTGGTCTTTATAAAAGTGCCTCCATCCACCTTCACTGAGAATGTTGTCTTGGAAATTATTTGTAGCCGCTAATAACAATTGTTACTCGATATCACCTACTGAGCCCTTTTTTATTCTGATTCTCAAAGAAGTGTGTTTATCCAAAATGGGACCTAATGAGATCCCATTTGCAGCTTCTACTTATGCATATTCAAATAAATTACCGTCAACAGAGCATTACAAAAAGTACAACCAAGATCAATAGTACAGCCGAGGAAAAAAAATCTGTTTTAGGCTTATTGGTAATCCTATATCAACTTACTTTCCCCTACCCCCACAAGCTACTCAAAACAAAAAAACAAGGAGAGAAGGGAAGGAAAATGGAGTTCACTTGAAAAATGGTACCTGGACTCTGATTTTTTTTTTCACAGTATTTCTTTAACCCTTTTAGTCAGCGTATTGAAATGCATGCCAAGAACAGGAAAATTACCCCAGGAAGAGTCAAAGCCACAATGAGTGCAATCCGAATTTCCTGGTTCAAGTCCTGGTGATGCACTACGTTTACCCCTGAAACTTATGCACCATAGGAAGAAACACACAATTCCCTGAAGTTCATCAATTAAATATCCTATTCTGTAGGTGATGTGATCTGGAACCCGCCCAAATTGATTGAGAAGTTGCTAATTGTGGGAGGCGGGTTGAGACCAAAATCTAAGCTAAGTTGGAGGCCAATTGTCGTTAATACAAGTCATGCAATCATCAATTCAAGTTTTGGAGTCCGAGAGGCTGAAGTTAGCAAGTCAAGGGTCAAGTTTCGTGTTGGGGACGAGGGCCAAAAGCAAGTTGAACCGAGTAGCCGAAAAACGGAGCCGAAAAAAGGGAACCATGCGACCGCACAGCGTCCAAGCATGCGGCCGCATGGCATGAGGCAGGGAATTAACCGGCTGCCACAACTAAACCATGTGGCCGCATGGTATTATTTTGGGGGCCGGTGTTGCAAATTTCGCGAGTTTTCCTATTTTGACTAGAATTATATTCTTTCTTATTTTCATGATATTATGGACGTATTTTTCCTTTTAAATTAGATTTTTAGGTTTTTTCTTGGTTACATGTAAATAGGAACCTATTTTCATTGTAAGACAGTTTTTGAGATTAAATTAATTCAGAGGCACGTTTGCTTCCTTTGTTTGTTCTTTGCGAACAATCCCGAACTTGTCGAGATATCCTCTCGTGGCGTTCAACAATCAAAGTGCGATCCGTTGGTTGTGCAATCACGGGGTCAAGGTATTCTAATAATTGTCTTGATTTTTGGTTCATTTAATTCTTCGAGTCAAACTTTAAATTCCGGATTTGATTTTCATTAATATTGTAATCAAAAGGTCAGCATATCCTAGTGAATGTGATGATTGTTTGGTTCATTAATTGTGGGTCAATTTCCATAAACTTTGTTTTCTGGCTTTCTTAGAGTTTGAGTCATTCTTCTGTGAGTTCGATTGTAACATTGCTGGTCGGGTTCACATCAGGTGGTATCAGAGCTTTGGGCAACAGATTCAAAGTTATATCCCTCTGAATTTTTTGTTTTGAGTCTTGTTTGTATTCTTCGTGTTCTTCGTGCTTTTTCAGTCAGTTTGAGTCTTAGATCTAAAATTTCATTGTTAGTTTAATTGTTTGTGTTTTTTGGTAAAAAAAAAAAAGTTAATGTTTATCGTATTGTTCACGTCCGTATCGTCGCAATTTGCACGAGTCAAAAAAAATTTTTTTTAGTCCCTTCAAATTTTTTTTTATTGTCTTAGTCCTTTAACTTCCTGATTATTGAGTCTTGCACAATTAATTATTATCCCTAAGGGTGGGCATGGGTTCCCCAACCCTTTTGATCAAAATTTAACCCAATCCAACCCGTGTAAAGTTTGAAACCCAACCCAACGCAATCAAGTATCGGTCGGGTTGGGTCGGGTTGATTGGTTTGAGACGACTTGTTGATAAATATTAAAGTTAATTCATTTTTGGGTGTAAAGCAACATTAATATAGTCAAGGAGCCTCAAAAATTTATAGAACTAATTACTATAGCATAGATAAAACTCAACTCATAAACTGAACAGCAATCACAAGTTCACAACCAAATTAGAAGTTGGTTTCTCACAAAATTCTCTAACAGTGGGACAAGATTGGAGCTTATAAAGTAGTTATAAAATTTTCATCAATACACAAGCTTCAAACCATTAAAAAGTATCAGCAAAATTATAATAAGGAGACAAGAAAATGGGCACCTTGGCTTTATCGTGAGCAACCCGCTCCGACACCTTGGCTTTTTCTGCAAATATGTTTTCAACCATGATTAGCACATTAAGCAGCTTAATAATGACCATTGTATGTTGAAAATTTAATTAACCTGCATTTTCTGCCGAAATGCGAGGAATCCGAAATCTTCTGCATTGTGTTGACAGTCCAATATAACCCCCCTCATCGGTGAGAGCAAGAATATGGGCATTTTTATTTGTCTGCAAGACACAAGAAAAATGACTGAAACCAATTTTTTGGTCTATATTTAAACATGATACAATCAAAGTATCAAACACTTCGACCCAATTTCACCATCCAAACAGGACTGAAAAAATACCACTTTTCCCTTGGGAAAAAAATAATAAATAAAATCCTTTCGGCAGAAGTTGTGAAAATGGGTATTACCCACCCAATTCCAACACAGTTCAAAGTATCCAACTAGTCAAGTATTCGTAAATTAGTTGTAAATAATAAAATTGGCCTTGTAGAAAGACAGAACCGTCGGAGGTGATAAAAAAAATCGTCGTTGATGTGATCCCGGATACGCATCAAGATTGCAATGAATTAACACATGTTGGCGAGAGATCGAAGTCGAGATTTGAGCAAAGTTGGGCGCCAATTCGAGCCAATAAAGTCATGCGATCAAGTGTCAAGGTCATGGAATTGAGCATGTTGAAGATCTCAAGCCAAGTATCAAGTTTGGGTGTTGAAGATGGCTAGCCAAAGAACAAGATTGTAGTTGGGTGTTAAGGCCGAATCAATTGGGAGCAAACTGATCTAAACGGCTGAAGAAGGGGCAAGATTGCAAGCCATGCGATCGCATGCTTATACATTTCATGCGGCCGCAACACAGCAATCAGGGAATTGAGGGGCAGCCAAGACATAATCTATGCGACCGCAACAATATCTACTGTGCGGTCGCAAAGCCTAAATCCGGGCGCCAGAAACTTCCAGTGAGCGCGCAAGTTACCAAGAATAAAAGAATTCTATGTGGCCGACAGATTTGTGTGGTCCTTTGGTATTTGTTTCCTTTTAGGCTAGGTTTTTTTATTATTTTATTCTTTTTAATTAAATTCTAGGATTTAGGCTTAATCCATGATTTAGTATTTTATTTCCTTTTTAAATTAGGATTTTAATATTTTTATTCCTTTTTAATTATTTTAGGCATTTAGTATAAATAGGATTTATTCTTTAATTGTAACTAACTTTGATGATGAATTGAAAAATTGAGTTTTCTCTCAAGAGGCGTGATGCCTCGAAACCATACCGAACTTATCAAGATCTAACAAATCTTGTGGCATTCAAACTAAAAAACCGGGTGAGATTTGTAAGTCGTGTGATTAGGAGGTCGTAAATTTAATATATCTACGGTTGCCTAGTTCATTGTTTGGGGATTAAATCCAAAATCGACGATTATTGGCGTTCTTGGGAACTGTGGCAATGTCGTTGTGGGTTCATGAGTGTTCGTTGCTCACGGGTTTGCATCAGTCGTGCTCCACTGCAAGTTATGAAGGGTGAAACAATATACCTGTCTTGTGGGTTTTCTAGCGCCGGACGTCAGCGACTGGCTTGGGGTGCTTGAAAAAAATGAGCAAGAGTGAGAGAGGGAACAGAGAGGTTTTAGGGTTTTTATTTTTTTATTATTTTTTATTTTTTGGACTGGGGGAGTGGGGATTGGTAAGTGATTAGCTGTTTAGGCATTTTGTTTCTTTAGTTTTTTTTTTTTACTAGGCGGGTTGGGTTGGGCGGGTTAGGTCGATTTTTATTGGTTAACCCCTAACCCCGACCCACCTACACCACAAAAAACTGAACCCACTTAAAAACAACAAAAAAGTCGACCCAAATCGGTCGGGTTGGTTCGGGTTGGGCGGTTTAGGCGGATTCGATCGAGTTTTGCCCACCTCTAATTATCCCATGAGTTCAAAGCAACAAATTGTTCTTGGGAACACTGACTAGAAGCAATTGAGAGGTAAAAGGCTGAGTGGTGAGTTTAATTGAGGGTAGAAGCTTGAAATTGTGCGATTCTCGAGTGAAAAATTTGGTGAGGCAGAAAATTGTGAGAATGTCAAAATGTAAAGCATCTAATTCGAGCAGGATGGGAAATCAATCCCACATGCAGGATGATTTAATATAGCGATTTGAGCAGATGATGATAAGCATGGAAAGTAGGTTGGAAAACAAGTTGGACAGGGCCCTTAGCCGGGGGCAACAGTCAGACATACCACATGCTAGGAGACTGGTTAGGCGAGAGCCTAGGGTAGAAGTGCAAAATGAATATGGGTATGGTAGTGAATGGGATGAAGATGATTTTGAAGAAGTTGACATGGAAATGAGGAGGAATAGAGGTGATAGGTTTGAACGTCAGAGTAGGAATAACTATGGAGATGACGTGGATGGAGGAATGGGCAATATCAAAATGTCCATCCCGCCATTTAAGGGTAGGAGTGACCTGAAGACGTATCTAGAATGGGAGAAAAAGTTGAAGCTTATCTTTGAGTGTTATAATTATTCGGAGGAGAGAAAAGTGAAGCTGGCAGTTTTGTAGTTCACTAATTACGCCATCACTTGGTGGGATCAGGTGATCACTTCAAAGCGGAAGAATGGGGAGAGACCAATACGTACATGGGATAAGTTGAAGGGGGTGATGAGAAAACGGTTTGTACCTGGCCATTACTATAGGGAACTCCATCAAATGTTGCAGGGGTTGTATCAGGGTTCTAGGAGTGTGGAGGACTATCACAAGGAGATGGAAATCTTGATGATTTGGGCTAATGTGGACGAGGATAGGAAAGCCACCATGGCAAGGTTTCTGAATGGGTTGAATAGAGACATCGCCAGTGTTGTTGAACTACAACATTACATGGAGTTGGAGGATATGTTACATGTGGCGATGAAGGTTGAAAGGCAGTTGAAGCGAAAGGGGGCAGCTAGAGGTCAAACAGGGCCTAATTCATTGTGGAGGTCTAGGTGGGATGAAGAGATGGTTAATGGGGCTAGTGGTAGCAATAAAATTGAACCACCTAGGGGAAAGGATGACAATACTAGCAAGGTTGCACCGAAGACAGAACCATAGCAATCTAGGAGTCGGGACATCAAGTGCTTGGGAACATGACACATTGCTTCTCAGTGTCCAAACAAGCGAGCTATGACCTTGAAAGATAGTGGGGAAGTGGTGAGTGGCAGTGATGAGGATAGGATGCCCAAGTTGGAAGAAGTTAGTGATGGTAACGTAGTGGAGTATCCAATTGAAGGAGAAGCCCTTGTTTTGATGCGTATACTCAATGCACAAATCAAGGTTGATGGAGAGTAGCAGTGGGAGAATATTTTTCATATATGGTGTCACGTTAATGATAAGGTATGCAACTTGATTATTGATGGGGGTAGTTGTACTAATATAGCTAGTTATACACTTGTAAAGAGGTTGGGATTGGAGATGATAAAACACCCAAAACCTTATAAACTGCAATGGTTAGATGATAAAGAGAAAGTTAAGGTTAATAGGAGAGTGTTAGTTAATTTTTCAATTGGGAGGTATAAGGATGAGGTGTTATGTGACGTTGTGCCTATGGATGCGGGGCATATCTTATTGGGTAGGCCTTGGCAATATGATAGGAATGTGAAACATGATGGATTTAGAAATAGGTACAATTTTGACATGGATGAAAAAACAATTACACTTGTACCCTTGACACCACAACAAGTGTACGAAGATCAGGTGAGGTTGAAAGGTGATGGAGGAAAGATGAAAGAAAAACAAAAAGAGAGCTTATATGCAAGGAAGAGTGAGCTTGGTGGTGGAAGTGAATTGGTGAAAGCTAACATATTCCTCCCCAGTTTCTATAATTCTTTGTTGCAGGATTATGATCAATTAGTGCATGCAAACTTTTCCAAAGGGATATCGCCATTTGAGTATCCATTTGATGCAATGCAGCTAGAGAATTTTAGGAGCAACGAAGAGGAGGCAATCATTTATGGCAATGCGGAGTGCAAAGGGCTCAATCAATTGTTGGTAGTGGACAAGCAAAGAATGAGCTGAGTTATGGCCAAGTAGATAGAAGGTGCAAGATTATTGAACCAGGCGCGGATTCGAGAACAAATCATCTTGAAGAGGGAGGGTCTGATGTGATCTGGAACCCGTCCAAATTGATCGAGAAGTTGCTAATTGTGGGAGGCAGGTCGAGACCAAAATCTAAGCTAAGTTGGAGGCCAATTGTCGTTAATACAAGTCATGCAGTCATCAATTCAAGCTTTAGAGTCCGAGAGGCCGAAGTTAGCAAGCCAAGGGTCAAGTTTCGTGTTGGGGATGAGGGCTGAAAGCAAGTGGAATTGAGTAGCTGAAAAATGGAGTCGAAAAAAGGAAACCGTGCTACCGCACAGCATCCAAGACATGCGGCCGCATGGCATGAGGCAAGGAATTAACCGGCTACCACAACTAAACCATGCGACCGCATGGATATATACCATGCGACTGCATGGTATTATTTCTGGGGCTGGTGTTGCAAATTTCGCGAGTTTTCCTATTTTGACTAGAATTCTATTCTTTCCTTATTTGCTTCCTTTCTTCGTTCTTCCCGAACTTATCGAGATATCCTCTCGTGGTGTACAACAATCAAAGTACGATTCGTTGGTTGTGCAATCACAGGGTCAAGGTATTCTAGTAATTGTCTTGGTTTCTGGTTCATTTAATTCTTTGAGTCAAACTTTAAATTCCGGATTTGATTTTCAGAAATATTGTAATCAAAAGGTCAGCATATCCTAGTGACTGTGCTGGTTGTTTGGTTCATTAATTGTGGGTCAATTTCCATAAACTTTGTTTTCTGGCTTTTTTGGGGTTTGAGTCATTCTTCTGTGGGTTTGATTGCAACATTGCTGGTCGGTTTCACATTAGTATGCCTCATCTGGCTTTGCACTCTTGTATTAATGCACCTTTAGCCATAGAAAAGCCACCCGACTTCCTTATAAAAAGAAATAGAATGCAAAAATGTACATAAAGAAAATTAAAGTACAGATAATCCTATTCCATAATAATTATCACAAGATTTGCTAATAATTTATCCCAATTTAGGACTCAATTTTTCAAGGCTCTGACAAAATTGGGGCCAAATTATAACACATTCAAGAAAATAACACCAGTACACAAAACTCACAGCTCTTTTTTTTTTTTTTTTTTTTTTTAAAACATTTAACAAAAAATAGTTATTAAATCTAGTTTCATTTTTCATTTTCTTGATCCTCTAGTCCATTATATTTTTATTTAATTCTGTTATCTGTTAATTGTTTAATAATTTAATTTTACTTTTAAAACATAAGCTGAAAACATGAAGTGACAACATGGCACTCTTGAAATTCCAAGAATTACTCATTCATGAGAAATAGCGCATATAGGCTATAGCCCCCATTCCAATTCTCTCTGAAACCGCTATAATAGGGTAAATTGCATGATTCCTCATCGGTGCATGACTTCTATAGCAAGTTGGTCAGTTGGTCATCAACCTTTACATTGAGTTGTTATAATTTTTAGCATTTCGTTATTGTACTTTTTTAAACCACTTGAACAATCATAGAATAAAAAATGGAAGCTAAATTTAGTGTGCTCGAGTTAAGTATCGAAAATTCACAGCCCATCATTTCAAATTAAAAGCAAAATGAACTTAATGCTAGAAAATTAGCAAATTACCTGAAGAATGAGCATTCCCATTTGAAGAAATCACAAAAAATGGATCTCTTTCAGTAGGCAAAAGAGGATCAGAAACAGGAGGGTCAGGCTTCATGTCAAGTGTAGCTGAAAACCAAGTAGAACTGAGAACCCGAACCAAAAGACACATTACAAAGAGAGCCTTCATTTCCCAAAATCTTGAACGAAAAAAGTGGAATTTTTCGAGTAAATAGTCCCAATTAGGGGTGTCAAAAAGGGTTCAGTGGCTCGAGTTGCTCGTGGCTCGGCTCGAGAAAAGCCCGAGTCGGCCCGACTCGTGGCTCGTAGACCCGAGCCTCAAAATAAGACGCTTG